GCCGGGCAGCCCGCCTTCCTCTCCCGGGGCGGCGGGGTGCGGGGTGGCCCCCCGCGGGGTGTGTGGGGCCAGGCGGGGCGGAGCAGCCGGGTTCGGTTTGGTTTCGTCCCGCCGCAGGTACCGGGGAGAGGGGATCGTGCCTGCCAGCCCCCGCGATGTCTGGGAATGCATAAAGCCGGTGGCCGGCGGGCGCAGGACCAAGTGGGACCAAAACGTGAAGGACTTCGAGGTCGTCGAAGCCATCAGCGATGTGAGTTCCTTAAAACTGTTATGGTGCGATTAATGCAGCGCTGCGTTCGGAAGCGTTGGGCTCTGCACAGACCACCTCGTCGTAGTGCCTCATGAGACGGCCGTGTTATGTGCCAGGGAGGTTAAAAAAGCCTCAAGAAGTTGTACAGCCTCTCTGCCTGCATCAGTCTGACAATACCAGGATTAAACATCTCTTTCTTTCTTTCTTTTTTGTGAATTGCTTTTATTCTCTTAATAATGGCTTGTCTTTTTGAAAGGAACTACTAATATGTCCCTGGCTAAATAGTGCACACTTAAAAATATGTAAACATAGAACATTAAGGATTCCAGCACAACTGCAGATCAAGCGAAGTATTTCTTTAAACAACCTATTTTTGAGGGAAGAGGCAGCACAGAGAACACATAGGCTTAGCTAATCAGTGAAGCGTTCGTGTCATCAGCCGTTAACTCAGGTTCCGTCTTTCTCTGAGGCAGCAGGCGGTGCTCTGCCTTCAGCTGGCTGACTGACCTTGGGACCCTGCGCTTTGCCTCAGTGTCTCTCTCATTAGAATAGAGATGCTGCACTTGGAGCATTCCAGATGAAGAGGGCTACATGTGAGCAGTAGTTTCTGGTGCTGTGGCTGTACAGTCTAATTTCCATTGGGTTTTTTTTATTCTGAAGTGTGTGAGAAACTTAAAAGTGCATTGGATTTACATCCCTAAATCTGTAGTGGGTACTTGGAGGCAGCTGAGGTACACACACATCCAGTCCCAGGGATGTTCATGGAAGTCCTGGGAAGACTCTTTTTCTTGGGAGAACCTTACAGACACATAGCGTTAATTATGAACTTCAACTTTAGAAATGCTGTGACATGCTGCTTGAAATTCATACACTTCGTCAGACTTTCCAGCACTTACCCGTGTGGTAGAAACCTCTGTTTTGGGGAGCCTATCACCACAGAGCCTCCGTAGAAGGGGATAGTAGTGTTAAGGTTTCTGCAGCGTAACAAATCTGGGCATCAAGTTGTATTCTGTGTGATGTGGTACTTCAGGGAGGGGGGAAGCAATTTAACTCTTATGAGCACAGATGTGCTAGATTTGCTTTTCAGTATCTGTCCTTTACCGACCTGGAAGCAATGCATTATTACGCTATTTTTCTCCTCCATTAAACTGGCCTTCATCAACACACCATTGTGATTTTTGACTATGCTGATTTGCATTTTGTTCAGTAAAGGATGTAATCAACTCATGATACAGTTTATAAGGTGTAACTGAAAGAGTACTAGAAAGTACAGGGATTTTTTTGCTGTACTTTTGAAAGCATCAGCTGACAACCCTGTGTTGTAATTTCCAGACTGTCTCTGTATGCAGAACCACGACCCCTTCAGCTTTCATGAGGATTATTTCACCAAGAGAATTTGTGGATGTGGTACTAGTGAAGCAATATGAAGATGGGACAATGCTGTCTGCTGGTAAGATGCTTGTGTTGTCAACGTGTTCACATTATGTTAAGAGATAACCAGCAGCTACCGGAAATAAATTTAAAATAAAAAGTAATTAACTTGCTGCATAGTAGTTGATCTGATATTGATCAGGAGATAAACTACATCATGGTCTCTTTACATCACTGTTCTCAGACAGAGTATATAAGTCATGTTAATGTTCAGATAGTGATGATCCTGTTGGCCTCTAGTTTCTTCCCTTGCTATGCTTTTGAGATTGAGTAAGTATTTCATTTACTATTAAGTTCTGGGGATTTTTTTTGGTGTGTGCTTTTGTTGTTTTTTAAGAATTTACATAAATTCTAAAAGGAGTCCTGTTTAGGCTAAATCCTGGTTTAACGCTTTCTGCAATGCCTCTAGATTTTGGTGGAGCCATTGAATAAATGTACCACTCCTGTATGTGGAAATAATTGTTCTTATGAAACCAAATAGTGCTGATTTTTAAGGGGCTGCCACTGCGTGGAAGGGTGTTTCTTTATTTTTTCACTTTCATCCTGTTGTATACCTGTTACAAGTCAGTGCTTTCATTGCCCCACTGTACATTTAGGAATGCTTTTCCAGGAATTTATGTACTTGCTACAGCGCAGCTTCTCAACAGTCAAGTGGCTTATACCTCTGTGGTATGGATTTGTTGGAAGTAACTTGAATGGCCTCTCAGGAAAAGCAATGCCCTCACACAACATGGGTTCAGTGAAACTCCCTTAAAGTGTCTTGATGCTTAGCTTAGAGCTTAGTAACAATTGCTTCTAAATTTAATGCTGCTTTGATTTCTCCATTCCATGGCCAGAGTGGTTCCTTTTAATGGTCTTTTCTGACCACTTGTATAGCACAGCCTCACATTGAAAAGGTTATACTGCTATTCTTCTTTAAATATGTTCTCCTATAGTGAGTTTGCTTCTCAGCTGGTACTTTGAGTACAAAGGACACCCTCCTGTCTTCTGCGAAAATGACACTTTTCTTGAATGCTTTTTCTTATAGCCACCAATGTGGAACACCCACTGTGTCCTCCTCAACCAGATTTCGTGAGAGGTTTTAATTATCCCTGTGGCTGTTTCTGTATACCTCTTCCAGGGTAAGAAGCAATCTATGTGAATGTTATGTATTCTAAAGCCCTTCTTATCCGTTGTGTGGTGTGTTTATGTGTGTATGGCCACATGATTGCCTCTTGGCAATAACATATTTCTGTCGTCTTTTGACTGGTAATCATGATTACTGAGTGCCCTTTCTGTGCTCTTTTTGGCGCAATGAATTAGTCTCTCTTAATTTCCTTGAGGGAAGTCTTTAATGTTACAGAAACCATCATGGCAGGATTCTTGCTGACCTCTTAAGCAGAAATTCAGCAGAACATACAAGTATGGTCTTAATTTTGGTAAATGAGTATCCCGTTGTTTATTACATTGCTATAATTCATAAACCGAATCACAAACCTATTTAAGGCCTAGTTTAACTGTAACTTGACTTGTGGAGATAGCTACATTCACTGAAACTTGGAATTAATGTCTGTTGTTTGTTTTTTAAAAAAAAAAGTACTTGGAAATATCTATCATCAGATAATGCATATAAGAATCACTGTAAAGTTCTTAATGCTTTTAAACCACTGGCTATAAAAATCACTTGCATTGTCTTTGCAGGGAGCCAGACAGGACTCAACTCCTCAGTTTCTTTCAGACTGATCTTGGTGGCTATCTTCCCCAGACGGTGGTGGATTCCTTCTTTCCAGCTAGCATAGCTGGATTTTACAGCAACCTGACCAAAGCTGTTAAGGCATTAAAAGCATGATGAGACCAGTAGCTGACATCACCAGCTGAGGGCAGGAAAAACCCTGACAGCTTGAGGGTAGAAACAGGAAGCTGGCCTTACAGGACTTTACTACCAGCAAAGATACTTAGGAAAAGTGAAAGGAGAACAATGGACTGAGTAAAACAAATTTTTAAAACAGCATTTTCTACCTGTCTCTATTCAAAGCAATGCATTCTTTTCTACTGCAATATCCTTCATTTTCATAATTACAAAAATATTACACCAGAGGCTGGAAGAACCCTGGAGGCAGCACTGGTGGCTGTCTGTGGGGAGAAGATGCACGTACTAGATCTGTTCTTGGCCACACTGTGTTGGTGAGGAGCAGCGTTGCTAAAATCCACTTAGTACCACAGTGTTAGCCAGGTGCAGGGCAGCCCAGTTTTGTCTCTGAAGCTCCCTGTAGACTCCTGAGGAACAATGTTCCTTCCCCAAAAGAAGAGGTAGCTCTTTTGCTGCCGGCACTCAGAGGGCTGCTAAGATGGTTTGGTGGGTCCAAGCCAGCAAATGGTAAAAGCCAGAACAAATTGGATTGTGTGGAGGATCTCGCTTGTTTGTTCATCAGACTTCAGTATGAACAGTAAATATGCCTTAAGTGCTTTTTTTCTAAATCAAAGTCTACCAGTGCAAATCAATTCATAGGTCTGTGGGTTAACAAATAGACACTCTTCCTTTCTCCTCTCTGTACCAAAAACAGTGGTTTCCAAAACGTCATGATACAAGCTGCTCTGACGAAGTGGCAATAAATAAAGAGGATTAAGCACTTTACTTGCCATTTTTTAAAAATGCTTCAAATGAACATTTTTAACTGCACTTGAACATTTTTCGGTCTCTTGTGGTGAGAGGTTTTAACGGGTAAATAATCTTTTCTGTAGCTTAGTCTTGACTTGACAGGCTGTAAGGACATTGCTTTTTTTCTAAGGCTGGTTTTGCCTCACCGCACTATCTTGGGAAATCAGCTTCTGATCTTGTGTGCAGTGATGTGTCCAGCTTTAGAAAATATTTGTGGTGCTGGTTACTGCAGGAATGTCAGTTACCTGTAAGTACAAAAGGAAACTAATTGCTGAATTAGGAATTGAAATGCAGGTTGTGATTTTTAGTGCTGTAACCTGATTATTTAACAAGGTTAATATGCTCTGCTTTCTGTTCCTGTATTTTGTATTTAGTATAGGCTGTGGACTTGCACACAAAGTCTCCCACTGTAAATCTCGCACTATGGAATAGATTTTTCAAAGAAATGTTTTTAATCTTTTCTCCTTTGTGTAAAAAGATGTAAAAACTTGTATGAGTGTGATTAAATAAATATTTTTCTGCTACATCTTGTTGTTTTTCCTGAATCATGCTTTAAAATGGTTCCTCTTGCACCTGCTTTGCCATCAAGGAAACGTAAGAGCCATTCGGACCTCCAGCGTCTCACTGAATTCAAGGCAACAAGACGGGGAAAAACCTTCACTCCCTTTTACTAACTAGGGATAAAGGTGTTTTGGTGAGCGCACTCACCCTCCCAACATCTTTGCGCTTGGTTGGTCCTTATTCCCAATTTAGATTGCTGCTTCCTGTACTTACGAAGAGTAACAAATTCACTGAGAAGAGATTTGGGCCCTGATCTTAGAGTCTCATATGTATTTATCTGAATTTACTGAAGTTGTTAGGCATGAAGTTCAGTATCTCGGCAAGTCTTTGCAGAGTTATGATTAATTTAATTAGCAAAAGGTTCAAGGAGCAGAGCTCAGGTCACCACTCGTTATTCCTGCAAGTAAGCCTTTTGCAGACAATGGGGCTTTTTATTAGCGCTTTTTTTTTTTTTATTATTATTTATTGCTCTGGATGATAAAGATGGTAGGTGAGGCTCTTACTTGGAATAACTGAAGGATGCCTTTTCTGAGTGATTAACGTGTTCTACCCAGAAGGAATTAAGAGCCCTTAACATTCAGCCTTCTGGCCTGCAAATTGGAGATGGAAAGGTCTTGGCAAAGATCATCTTGTAAGATATTGGAGGACTCCCCAGTGAGACACGCTGCCTGTCACGCAGTGTGTTTTGACTTCTTTTGATCTTGGCAGATGCCAGAAAATGCAGAGGCATGCAAAAACTGAAAAACTTTGGAAACAAAGTGAGAAACACCATCTCTGGAAAAAAATGAGATCAAACCTCTCTCAGTGGCTCTATGTCAGTTCTTAAGTTGATAAAATTAAACAGCTGTTTCAGGTGAGGACACCTTCAGCAGATGGCATTGAAGTATTTAAAGCATTGTGTGCCGTGGCTGTAGCTACTCTGGTCTGTTGATAAAGTTAGGAAGCTGACCAAAAAGTGTGATCTGTCTTTTACAGGAAATGGCTTTAACTGTGCTAAAGAGTTCAAGCCTGCTTTTCTGTACGGAAATCATTCATGGTTTTCCCATATTGGTGGTACGGGCAAGTGGCTGAAAAATGTTAGAATCTGTTATATGCACCAGGCCTTTACTTAGACTTTGTTAAGCCTAAGCCAATAATGCAGATGAAGTTACATACAAGAAATTCTACAGAAAAATAAAGAAATACTCAAAGAGTTTCAGGTAGGTACCAGTTAAAAAATGTATAAAAAAGATTCCCTCCCATTTTTTACCTATTTTGGTTGCTACCCAATCCATAGAAGTTTTGTTTTGAGGATTGGTTGGTTTTTGGAAAAGACAGCTCCATTGGGAAGGGGTTTGGAAGTGTGGGGGGCAGATGGCTCATCGATAGTGTTCCTTCCAGGTTTAAGAGAATTGACTTGTGAGGAAAGGCCAAAGCAAGTCGTATGGCTGGGTTCAGTTAATACTTTCTGCTGTCTATCCCACTTCCCTTTCTCTCAATTGCTGTTTCTGTTATACTGTGTTAAGTGCATGGAAAATAGCTTCTGAACTCCTGTGGTTTATGGTTTAGTGAAATTAAATAGCCAAAGAAAGGTGCAGCAAATTCCCGACTATGGGAAGGTGAGCGGCTAAGGACAATAACCAGTGCAGCCACCTGGCTTTCAGCTGGTGAGTCACTGCTTCCATCCTGATGTTGCATCTCTCCCTGTAGTGAAATAGGTCAGAGAAGACCAAGTGGGTGCATAAGACCATCTTGCTGTAGATAGACGTGCTGCTGCTTGTAGAATTCCATACAGTGCTTAGAGAGCACTGCCAAAGCGCTGATTAGCAGTATTTGAAGCATAGATTTATCTCCAAGTTATTTAGCATTTCCAGAATAAACATTTGGATTCAGAACTTTTAATTCCCAAATACTCTCACTGGTACTTTCCCTTACAAAACTAACACAAAGACATTTTGAGGAACGTGCGTGGTTAGAAGGTAGGAGTTGGTTCTAAATGGCCTTGTTACTCTCCTGCTGTAGTCCTGTGAGACTTCTGGCCAGAGGAAGGTTAGAAAAAGCTCGGCTGTATTACCCTCTGCTTCCTGCCTTGCCCTTGCAATACCATGAGACACTCCTTTTCCCCCCACCCCGTGTTTGCCTGCTGGAGTTGAGATGGCTCTGTCAATTGCCAGTAGAACATTACCCTGGACAGGTTCTGGCTGTTCTGTGGTTTGAATGGAAAATCTGGAGTTTTCCAGGGCATGTTGTCGTTTTGACACACAAAGTTGCACCCCCTTCCTCTGCCCTTTACACACTCTCTAAGGCTTTTCCTTTGCTGCAGCATTTAGGCTTGTAGACACATTTCTTTCCTCCTGGGAAAGGCTTGTAGAGTAGGACTGAAAACTTCGCACGGAATGTACTTCTGATATTTGTTAAGTTAATGGCTTAACATGGGAGAGTACTATAGCTGTCACATATTTTATTACAACCAGTATATTATTAATAATTATTATTTTATTATTCTACATTTTGGAGCATCTGTTTTTGAATGTTGAAATAAGAATCATGCACATTTTGTGTGCTTTTTATTTTACCCCAGGCAGCTTGTTCTGTAACTGTGTACTTTTCATATGCGCTTTCTGAGTGTCTGGCTGTGCTAGCCAAATGGCTGCAAGGAATAAAATCCTTTTTTGTTTGTAGTATTGGCAGTAGTCTAATTCCTCCTCTTACAAAGTTTCAGATGACTTGATGGTAACAGAGCTTGGATTCTTCCTCTTGATGATAGCTGTGATGGGTCCATCAGGTAATGCCTTGATGATATTCCATGCTTCAAAACGAGTGAGTCCTTGCATGGCAGTTGTGTGCACTTGTAATAGCTCATCACCAGGCTGAACAGGGCTGCTTTGTTCTAATGCAGTCCCTGGGGAGAGAAAAGGAATTTCCTTTAATTCTTTGTGTGGAGGAGTCTTCAATGGATCTTTCACTTATTAAGGATCACCAGCACGTTTGGTATAAACCACCTGGTCTCAGCAGGCAACAAATTACTGACACTGCATAGGATAATGCTGTGTTTACAAAAAATACCATTTTCATGGGTATAAATCGGTAGTCAGTTATGAACTGCACAAGTTTGTATCAGCTAAGAACCCACCATGTATGCATTTAACTGTGTTTACCTTTAAATATCCTGTTGATGATGATGGGTTTATCTCCATGAATAGAGCCCTTCCCTCCTTCCAGACTGAATCCTAAACCAGCAGGTGTTTTTTCTAGAGTTACAGTGCAGATTGTATCTTCAGTTGCTGGGAACAAATGGAGAGTTAGCAGATGGACACCACAGAGTCTGAAAAGCTAAAACATCTGTTACAAAAAATGAACTTCTGTTTTGTTTGCCAAGGCACCATAAACTGTCAAACAAAAGAGAAAGCTAACTTTTCATTTCTCTTTTTGTCGTTATAAGGCCCTCTGAGAAGCTGGGGAGAGAAAATTGTGTTTGAATTTACAGCAGAGTGGAAATATAAAAATGAAAGCTGGCAGCATTTACTAGAATTAGAAGAATCCATTCAGTGAACGACATTTAAGGTAAACATATTCAACAATATTATGAAATCATTATCAACTACAAAGCTGCTAATGTTTTTTTGCAGTATGTAAATAAAGCTACAGAT